TCATCATCATCATCATCATCATCATCATCATCATCATCATCATCATCATCATCCCAATCATCATCATCATCATCAACATTAACCCTCTATGCCTCGACCGATTCTAACATGATCGTCACCATTCTAAATCGCAACTGTTCTAGTGATGACACGAGTCAGCGCATCCCTCTATGCCTCGATCGTTTCTGACTGGACGGACCATCAACCCCTCCATATCTCGACTGTTCTTTCTGACGCAAATCATCCTCACTCTATATCTCGACCGTTTCTAACTGGATCTTCACCACTCCACATCTCAACTGTTCTTACTGACGCAAATATCCTCACTCTATATCTCGACCGTTTCTTACTGGATCGTCACCACTCTACATCTCGACGGTTCTAATACGAATCATCACCACTCTATGCGTCGACTGTTATTACAAGCCACAATTACATCTAAAAGACATTTAGGTCCGGGTTCTCAATTCTTTGAAGTGAATGTTCCCATCCACTCATGTTTTTATTTCTATTATTTCTATTTAAAGTAAGTTTTCATTCAAATCTTGAAAGGAGATGGCTATATCTGGTTACCCCCGACCTACCGTAATGAATACAAGTTAATAAAGTACATGTTCGTATATATTTGATATCAATAGTCTATAGTGTGTGTTTGTGTGTGTTTGTGTGTGTGTGTGTGTGTGTGTGTGTGTGTGTGTGTGTGTGTGTGTGTGTTGAAACGCCAAACCAGTATGCTAATGTCTGGATTAAAGATTAATGTTATCTTAATTAATCTTGTCTCATCTCATCTCATCCTTATATCATCTTATCTTATCTCTTCTCACTCTTCTTATCTCACCTCACCTCACCTCACCTCACGACACTTCACTTTACCTCACCTACCTCACCTCACCTCACCTCACGACACTTCACCTCACCTATCTCACCTCACCTCACCTCACGACACTTCACCTCACCTGCCTCAACTCACCTCATCTCACCATATCTCATCCCATCTCTTTTATCTCATCGCCTGTAATGTCTGGCCATCTATGTGTGCTACAGCCACCGTCTCAGTTCCCCTCATCTCATCTCATCTCATCTCATCTCATCTCATCTCATCTCATCTCATCTCATCTCACCTCACCTCACCTCACCTCACCTCACCTCACCTCATCTCATCTCATCTCATCTCACCATATCGTATCTCATGTTATCTCATCTGTCTCATCTCATCTCATGTTATCTCATCTCATCTATCTCACCATATCTCATCTCATGTTATCTCACCTCACCTCATCTCCCCCCAGGTCTAGTGATCTACGTCTGCTACAGTCACCGTCACAGCGTACACAGGTCCTCTGATGACCAAGAAGTCGTTCTTTTCGACATCTCACAGCTGCCCTCTGGCCACAACTGAAGGACATGGCGTCTTTTCTACCACAGAATGGTGTCTTTCTACCACAAAACGACGCCTTTTCTACCACAGAATGGTGTCTTTCTACCACAAAACGACGTCTTTTCTATCACAGAATGGTGTCTTTCTACCACAAAACGACGTCTTTTCTACCACAGCTACCCTCTGCCAACAACTGAAGGGAATGACGTCTTTTCTACCACAGAATCACGCCTTTCTACAATAGAATGACGCAATCTTGAAAGGGATTCTCGTAGTCTCACAACCGAATGACGCCTTTCTACCACAACTGCCCTTCTCCGACAACAGAAGGACATGGCGTCTTTTCTACAGCAGAATGACGAAGTCTCCAAAGGGATTTTAGTAGTCTCACAACAAAATGACGTCTTTCTATAACAAAATGACGTCTTTCTATAACAAAATGACGTCTTTTTTGCGTATCTCACAACAGAATGACGTCTTTCTACGTATCTCACAACAGAATGACGTCTTTCTACGTATCTCACAACAGAATGACGTCTTTCTACGTATCTCACAACAGAATGACGTCTTTC